GGGAAAGAGAAACATTACATCAAAATTAGAAGCTACGCAAGACTACAGAGGTAGAGAAAAATATTTTTTTTTAATAATCAGCAAGGTAAAATGTATTTTGTCAAAAAAATTAGCTGCCTCCTTTGAAACCAATAAACATACTGCATTTGAAAGTCAGAAGCACTGCTGTCAAGTACACTAAGCAACACCAAAATGTGGGAAGTAGATGAATAGAGCACATTACACATAAAACATTTTCTTATACTTTCTGTAGAGAACTGACAGATGAAATCTGAAGATAATTTTTTTTTTTAATGGCTTTCCTCTAACTCACACAGATTTGCCAGCAAAGCCAGACAGAGTTCAAAAGAAAAATTCTAGTTGAATAGTAAAAGATATAATGCTGGAAGAGGTTGAAGAAACAATATTTCTACTGGTTATGGTCTGGGTTAAATTTCATTTTATCTGTCAAGTTCAACCATAGCATTCATCTAAAACAGCTGCAACAGACAGCTAAATGTATTACCTACTATAACGAAAGATAAATATAAAGTTGCTAAGTAATTATCTGAAAGGAGAAACTTTGCTGAGAAGTATTTTGGGTTAGGGCACATCACTAAGAATAAAGAAAATAAACAATTCATGCCGAGAAAAACAGACTTCAAAGAAAGGACAAAGAAGACAGGCAGATGCAGTTTATAAACATGCACTGGTACAGGATACCTAGGAAACAGGATTTGCAGTTACAATGCTCGTTGAAAAGAAATGCTGGTGTGACAGAGAGCTGCCACCCATTGTTCAGAACAGTTTTGCCCATTCTCACAAAAAATTTAAAAAAAAAGTCAGATGTGCAAGAATGTTTGGTTCCATGACCAAAATTTACTTCTAGACCAGAATAACCTACAAGACCATACATCTTCACCAGATGGCTTGATGAAGACTGCAGGCGGCATCAACAACAGCTAGAGATGAGGAACTCATCAGATGACCACCTGAAAGCTCATCAGATCATACAGAAAGGCCCAGAAGAGAACATATCTCCACAGATTAACACAGAGAGGTCCTGCAGCATTCCTCCTGTGCAAGCTTACAAGAACAGAGCATATCACAGAATCATCAAATGGCCTGGGTTGAAAAGGACCTTAAAGATCATCTATTTTCAACTCCCCTGCTGCGGGCAGGGTTGCCAACCACTAGAGCAGGCTGCCCAGGGCCCCACCCAGCCTGGCCTTGAATGCTTCCAGGCACTTCTCTGGGCAACCTGTTCCAGTGCCTCACCAGCCTCTGAGTGAAAAATTTCCACCTATTATCCAACCTAAATCTCCCCTCTCTTAGTTTAAAACCATTCCCCCTCATCCTGTCACTATTAACCCCTGTAAACAGTCGCTCCCCCTCCTGTTTATAGGCTCCCTTCAAGTACTGGAAGGCCACAATGAGGTCTCCCCGGAGCCTTCTCTTCTCCAAGCTGAACAAGCCCAGTTCCCTCAACCTTTCTTCACAGAAGAGGTGCTCCAGCCCTCTGATCATCTTTGTGGCCCTCCTCTGGACCCGTTCCAAGAGCTCCACATCTTTCTTGTGATGGGGGCCCCAGGCCCGGACACAGTACTCCAGATGGGGCCTCACAAGAGCAGAGTAGAGGGGGATACCATGGCCTTAGTCATTTGTCCTCTGACCTACAAGTTAAGAGCCATTACACTAAAAGGATCAGGAGTGAGTGATACAGATCACCAACGCTAGCTTTCAGTCATAGGCTAATACTTATTTACAACATCAGTCTGCTGGTCAGTAACTGCAACAAGGATGGAGGGAAGATGTGTGGAGGGAAGGATCTGATTTTAAGTATTTAAAATTGCAACTGATGCCAAAATCGCGTTAAACTCACTTCATATGAAGCGTAACAAACTACAGTCTTCCGTTTGGTCCATATGCAACATCCACAAGACAGGTCAATACTTCACATTCCACTAAGTCTTCATACGCCCTTCTTCAGACACTGGTTTTTATTTCTATCACCAATTTCCTTCGAATCTCCACTAAAATCAATTTGCAATTGTATGTATAATAAGATCACAGGAGACTAAGAAGAAAATAAATTAATTAGCTTTTCCTTTGTACCTCACAGGAAACAGGTAAAAAGTTAATATAGCCTAAAGAAACCTAAAACATTTCCGTGACACAAATTTCAGGGATGGAAATGACCTCTGACAATGTTCTCTTAAGTATTTTCTGGGGTTACAATCTTCATGTCTAGGTACAAACTTGGAAAACTATTTCTGTGCTTAGAGGAGATGTATAGGGTTTGGATGATGAGTGGAGCAGCAAACCTCACATTTCTAACAAGGAAAATCTATGTGTTTTTCTCCCTCCCTTTTCGTACAGAATTCTTCCAAACTTCAGTCCTTTTACTTTTTGTGTTTAATGTTAAACAATTTAAAGACAATACTTACATTAGATACGACTGTGATAAATGCATGTGCTATAAGAAATGGCAGCGTCTCAGGGGTTCCATATTCAAAACAATCCTTCATGAGGGAAAGGCCATTTTTTCCACAAAACAGACAAACATAACGAAGCAAGTGCAATGGTACTTCTACATCCTAGAAATATTAAAAAAAAATAATAATAATTTGAACAATCAATACTAGATCTATTCAGACATACAGGAAATTCAAAAGCTACATTAGCATAACGCAGATCGACACAGAGGAGCCAACATGGCTCTTTTAAGTTTCTAGGAAATGTGCACCTGTTTAAAAATTGACAACTTACATTCATATCACAGAACGCCCCTAATATATTGCTTTCTTGAGCAGAAATATCCTGTTTAAAAAGAAAAAAATTAAAATTAACTGAAGCAACAGAAACACATTTATAGAACAAAAAACTGACATATATAGAACAACAACTAACAGAAAAAAACAAAACCCTAATTTAGAGGAAGACAGAAGCTCAAGCTTTGCTCCACGTTTATGTTCCAAACACTCTTCCAGTTCACCATTTTACCTCTCTCAAGATGTATTAATAAGTACACAAATATACAGTTAGGATAACACCTCAGCAGTGGCTCTCAATGGCTGGATTAACAGATCATTTTTCAATCCCACCCTGCGTCAGATGACGGATTTTTTTCAACAGGAATACCGCAAAGAGGATAGTCTGGCACACTGGCTGCATACCAGCCTAAGAATTACAGAACAAACCAATGTAGATATTTTTGAATGCAATTTTTGCATAAAGATGAGACATATATCCAAACATCTACATTTAGGTGAAATGTAGGATGTTCTACAATCCTACATTTAATGATTTAAGGGGCTAAACTGTCAAATTATTCATTCCCATCAGAATATTCTTTAACTTCAACTACTACATTCTTTTATATACCACAAAATACATCATATAAAATAAGTGTCTAATACTCTCTACAGGATTAAGTTAACTAAAGAGGGGGAAGGAATTGTATCACCCTAACACTATTTGCTGCAACACAAAATCTATTTTGTAGAAGTACTAAACTGAAAAGGGTTTTGAAAAATAGCTTTTCTTTGTAATATTCACAACACCATCTCACTGGACAGTAGAAAGAAGAAATTTCCTTTATTAGGGTTGTTACACATATTGTGTGTTTCTTGCATATGGCTGGGGGCAAAAGGGCACTGAAGATCACAGAAAACATGACTGTAAAACCACAACATTGCCATGGATACTTGCAGATAGTTAGCGATACATTCTTCTCCTTCCCATCTCTCCCTGCCAAAACCCCAGTTCTCATATTCACAAATCAAAGGTAAGTTTAACATAAAGTTTTTAAATGAAGTTTCCTGAATATATTTCAATATCTGTGTAGGAGTAAGCTTCTTAAAACTGCACCAGAGGATGCTGGAGGCAAGCAATTTCAGATGGATTAAGTGTGATACAAACATTTTGAATTATTCAATATGCTCATATTATATCTAAGAATTTATTTTCTTTTTTATTCTGCTGAACTCTAAGTCATGCCTGAACTCGTGATACTCTAACAGTTATTTTTAAAACAGCTTTGAAACCAGTAGGTGGTATGTTTTCAAGCAGCAAGAAAAGGTGTTCGGCACTCTGCTCACAAAAACTCCAGAAATAGTGTCAGAAATTTCACTAATTTTCTTAAATAAAGTAAGAGACTTGTTATCAAATGAACTACAGATCTTAGAATACTCATAGAGGTCTGTTGTGCAAGTCCCACAAAGCTTACTGAAAGTGTTGAAGTTGAGAGACTGAGAATTCCTTAAGATCAAATTTATAAGGAAATAAGAGAATTCCTCACGGAAATCTAATACGGCATTAAAAAACACCATCACTTCAGATAAAATGTACTAGCCGAGATCTGACACAGACACCATCTTGGTGAGGCACTTAATTAGGGATATCTTCCAAGAAAATATTTACTTGCAAAGGAGAAGCAGAGAGAGCAAGATTTCCAAGAATCAGAGACTACAGCTACAGATACCTAAACAACTGATTTTTTTTCATCTTTCATTTCATCCTCTGTCAAGAACTGCTAAACGGTTAGTTAACTCCCTTCAGATTCATTGCTCATTCTCTGAGACCGTACAAAGTTCAGGAGTGCACTTACGTAACTGCTTCTTTCTCTACAGGATTTTAAGAGCCTTCCTTTTCTAGATTTTACTTCCCTCTGAAGTGTCTGTTCTAAGTATTACACTTGCTGCACAGATTAAGTATGAAAAGAAGAACATAGCATACAGTCTTAAACTGCCCTGTATGCAAGATCTGTTAAAAGATATCCCATACTTAAAAAAAGGAAATAATTCCAAAGTATGAACATTTCTCAAACCAACCAACCATATTTATAAAAATATTTTGAGTTCATTCTGTTCGGGATGAAAACCAGACAAAAAGCCCTCTCTCTCTGGGAATCAAAAACCTTGGTAGATTTCAACAGAAGTAAACTGTGTTTCCAGATGTTATCTTCACAGATTTTTTTTCAATATTTATGTCCTGAAGTGGGCTGACCTCTAACTGACTGCAACTAATTGTGCTGGTTTAGAAATCCAAACGTAGTAGAAAGACATTTTTCATTAGACTTCTCATCAACTCAGAAAAAGTTGAGACATTCTGTCTACACAGACTCATATCCACAGCAAAGCCACTTGTTCAAGGTAACTTCTGCTGTCCAGAGTCCACAGCCCTTCTGGCTAACACTCAGGCTTCCATGGTCTTCGCTCTCTCAATTTAGAAATGTTGTATGGGACAATAATAATTGTTAGTCCATATCATTTAAGGAGAAAATCTACCAACAAATTTTGCTTTTCTGTTCATTTTAATCCAAATTTGTGAACTCCTGAACTAGGAAAAACCTCCTACTTTCACATTAATTATTTTCTTCTCCACTAGATGGTCAAGTGTAAAATGGCTTTGGCAAGCACCTGAGAAGAGGATTAGAGTTCAAGACTTGTCTTCGGTCTGCTGTCATTAAGAACAAAGATCTTGGTGGTGTACGCAGAGCAAAGGCTAACAATAACATTGACTGGTAACTGTTACATAAAGGTAATAATATCATGTGAAAGACTTCCATTGGAAATTTTTAAATGACAGCCTAATGTGTCATTTCTAGGCAAAGTGAAACCTTACTGGACATGATGACTCAATGAAATCGTGTAAATTCATCTCAAGAATCTGGAACAAGGAATTTCTCAAGTCAGTGAGAATGGAGATTGAAGCTTGTTTTGCATCAGGAAATTTACCATTTTCCAGGGCAAAAGAAATGCTTAGAGGGGGAGCTACACAAGCTTCTCACAACAAATTCTTCACAGACTTGGTCCAATCAGGAATCTTTTTAGCTTACAAGTATAAATGATACACTTAAAACAGGGATTTTTATTTTATGATCCCTTAAGGACTGAGTCTAAGCTTGATCTAAAACAAAAGGTCTTCCCATCACTGGGGACCAATAACTGTCTCAATTGAAATGAAATGTGCTCTAGACCGAAATCCAAAATTAAATTCTAAACCTCAGTAAATTAGTTACTCATGCTGGCAGAAAGTTTTGACATTAAAATAGCTAACAAAAGTACTTTGGAATAACAGAACCCCAGTGCCTCCTAAATACAGAAAATCTCAGTTTGTGAGAAAAATGATTGATGCTGGGATCTTTTAAATGCAGGCAGAAACATCTCCCAAATCAAAGGAAAAAGGTACACAACAAATATGGCAGGTTAGCATACCTCCATAATCCAGACCTGGAAACACAAGAAGTTTAGCAGAAAAGTAAAAACTGTTCCCTCGCTTGTCTGTAGCTCAGGAAAGTGTTTCTCATTCTCAGCTTCCCTTTAAATTATGTTTTTAGGATTGCTAATGAATGTATCCAATATTTCAAATTACATATGCTTGCATGATATATATGACATATACTAGTATGTCTAGAGTGATGGCCAGTCACAGTACCGCAACCTACAATATATCTGTGTCCAAATCACTTTATGGATGCACATTAAGTAAAAAAGAAACCCTATCAGACACTTTGAGATTTTCTTTTTATCATTTGGAAGTTAAATTGAAAAAGAAAAAATACATGAAACTGTCATTTAAAAGAAGCAAGTGTGTTTATACATAGAAAAGCTGTTCCAGATTTGTTCATTGCATATTCCAATGAAGCTAGCTTCAGTAGGCGTCCCACAGGAGTACAGAAGATAAATCACTTCAGTAGTCATTGATTTATTTTTTTTTTTAACTGACAAGATAGATCTACCCTCTACAGTTCTGACTTGCAGAGTCTGAACTACAGATTTATTTATCTATGGCAAAAGTTTAAAAGGGAGACCAAAATGAATTATGAGAAACCCAAGACCCACAAATCCTAGCTTTGTCTCATTTTTCTCTACACATACATTCGTGAAACAACCTCTGTTAACTTAGGCCCATATGTTTTGGAATAAGACAAGAAACCAAAATCCAGCCCACCCAAAGCACCTGCTATGCTGCAGGTTTTAACTAGATTTATTGTCAGGTATGGGAGGATTCATTCAGCAAAAACTGATTACATCTTGTGATCACTCTAGCATACATAACCAAAAATTATAGATGAGTTGGTATCTTCTCATTGTGGACATAAGTTTAAAAAGCAAACTTAATCAGAGCTCCAATAGAACTCCCTACACTCTCTAAATAAAAAACAAAAAAAGACTGGGTTAACTGTCATTTGATTCTCCACTTTGACTTTCTCAAAAGTCTGTTGGATAGAAGCTTTCTTCATATAGCTAAATATACACCTTATTTGCATACTAATACTGTAAAAGAACTGTTTATTTGTTATTAGACTACCACAAGTTGGATCAAATTCCAGTGTTTCCAAGAACTATATTGTTAAAACCAGAAAATGCTAACATCATCATATTTATTTCAGAAACTGTGAATTACACACTGCTGGACTTTTGAAAATTTGTTTGGTTTTCAGATGAAAATATGGAAAATGTGAATGTTAGCCATAACAAATATCACAAAGAAAACTCAGCATCGTAGAACAAAGATACTTTAGTGTAGAGCTCAGTTATTCCAGTCAATTAAACAGCTGTTCTAACAAGTAGTTTGGTCTTGCACAAAATTTAGTTTATGAAGCTTTGCTTCTAGAACCATAGACTGTAATAAAAATAAATTAGTAAACTATTAATGGGTTACCTTCTTGAAGAAAGGCTTTGCTATAGTCCCCTTTTTGCCTTCCTGTTATTTAAACAGTACAATAATTCAGTATACAGTACCATCCAACACTTATCAATATATTACCTATAACAATTAAGCATATTTTAAAGAAAGTGTAAGAGTATGTGTGATTTAAAAAGTTTCTCTGAAAAGTTCTACGGAAGTCAACAGGAGAGCTGAATTTGCCCATCCTGTGTCAAAGCAACTATCACCAAACATGCACAGTCTACTTGTTAATGAGAACAAACAACCTTTCACAAAGGAATCAAATATACACATAAAGATAAGATATACCTCTATTGTGGGATGAGTATTATGCTTATAAGCAGTGTACAGAGGAAACTGAATCTGAAAGATTTTTGCCACACACAGCAACAACTTTTCCTTCTCATCAGTGCTCCATAAGCTAAAAGCATCAGCGTTCTTTGCAGACTCCTCCTCTGTCAGCATACAAGTTCTTGCAGAATCTAATTTTTTCTCTATAGATTTTTGCCGTTCTCCATTTTCTTCTTCATGAGACTCTCTTTCTACATTCAGGGGCTCATCAGCATGATTACTCTGGTCTTGCCATGTTGAATCTATATTAATAGTGCAATGTTTACAGAGCTGGTCCCGCAGAGCTTGAACTTGAGCAATCACTAAGTTAATAAGCGCACATACTACTTGGTTAAAGATCTCCAAATGTTTATACTCCTTGAAACAGCACAGACATTGTCTGTAAGAAAACAGAAAAAAAAATAAAAATTCCTGAAGTAGCTAAAACCAGAACAGGTAACTGACCAAAAGGATTCTTCACATTAAAACATTTTAAACAACAAAATATTGACAGACCCATAAAAGTAAGGAAATCCAAATGAAACAGACTCTACTCAGTAGCAAGTGGGAGTCACGAAGCATTCCTTAAACCCTGTGAACATCCCATTATTTCCAAATGCTCAACAAAACTGTGAAGTCCCTGTTGTTGTTTAGCAGTTGCCACTGTGAGTAAAATACACAAAAGAACTCTTCTGTACAGGGCAAGGTCACTGTACTACTAAAGAAGCGGTGTTCTTCAGCATGTTCCTGAATCTGTTTCCTTGTCTGGTTTTGTCTATTGATATTTATTGCAATAAACCACCTGGCACACTTGTTAGCTGTGTTAAGAACTAATAATTGCAATTTTTAAATCAATGGGGCTGCAAAATAATTTTATTTTGAATTGAGTATTTAAGCTCACTTCCTTTATTTGCATTTGGATAGAAACCCCATGCACATTGGGACCCTTTACCCATATGGGAAAAAGTGGCATCAAGTAACTTCACTACCTTCTTCACTATGTAGGCTCAAGAGATTTCTCCTGTGAATATCTACTGATATAGTATAAACTGAAAAGAACAAGGGGGAAAACTATACACCATCCCTTTATCAATATAATAAGAAAAATCAACCAAATCATCAAGTTAGAGAACTCTAACACAGCTCTAGTTGTGGGCAAGGATAACTATCTATGTCAGAGATTTTGTGTGCATAATCCCCCCAAGATAGATACCCTAGAACATATTGTCTGGGAACATTTGCTTCTTCCGTACAAACAAGAACTCTCCTCATTCTGAACAAAAGGTGGAGGATATTCCCCTAAAAGGATCTAAATCCTGGAGAACGCAGAGAAGAAAGCAAGCAGTAAGCATGGGGGGTTCAATGAAGACTAAAATTAAAAGCTACCTGCTTGTAACAGAACCTTTGAGCAGACTCAGTTCTTTCTCACTCAAACTCTACTAAATGATAACTGCTATATAAACTGGTAGCTTTCTTGCAGTAGAAACCTTTCTCCCATTACATGGAGAGCAATGAACTCCACTCCATGACTAGAGTTCTCAGATACTGAAACAACACAAAAATTACACATCCGACTTCTGAAACAAATTAGCAGGCAGAAGATAGGGTAAGAAATCATCAATAAGAAGTGATCAAAAACAATCTTCTGAAAAGCATAGCATTTAATCTAGAAACTGCTTAATAAATTATAATTTGTAAGAAAAGAGAGAGAACTCGGAACTATGACAGATAGAGCATGCTGCCTCTCTTGAGGGAATACAAACATGTCCTTGAGCTACAGCTCTTAAAGCATATACATTCTGAATACAGATTTTTTTTTATCAGTGGGCTAGACATAAAGATAACTTTCAGTATTCTCTAATTCCAGCACAGATGCAATGATGGAAGCATCTAAAACCTTTTGTTCTGTCTATCCAGGAAGAAAAATCCTTTTAATATTGTGTAGGTGGAGTGTCTTCACCCATTTGAAAAACAGATTTTGTGATTTACTTGTACATGTATTTTTGTATTAACAATCCACAGCAATGAATTGCACACAAAACCAAGTCTATCCTCAAGCATTTATTCTTGGGCAAAACTATGTACAGTAGGTCCATCATTTATGCCTACAAATTACTACCCCACTTGGTTGTAACAAATTATTCTCAATAATAATGAAAACAAAGTCTGGTGGATACTTCTCACATATCTATTTGAACACCAACTGATACTGGAGAATTCTCTATTGGGCAAAGAAATTTTTTTTCAAGATAGAGCTATGTGCAAAACCTCTACATCTTCACATACCCGAAAGTGTTCACAGGAAAAAGAGCTCCACCAAAAATTAAAGATCTATGAAAAAATGAGTATACTACAAATATGACTTGTTTGAACATAACAATTTCCAGAAGAAAACTGAAATGGAAACACTACATGCAGATGGAAGAAAAAGGTATTCTTCAGGCTGAGTTGCCAACTGATCTTCTGAAGGAAAGCAGAGATTCAAACTACAGGTAACAACACAAAAAGTAGTTAAGGAAGGCCTCAAGCACAAGAAGCAGAACTCTCAAAAGCCCATTTGGCAGAGTAGAAACAGGACATAAAATTAAAATATAAAGTAAAACTCCTTCCTGTGGCCTCTTTGCTACACTCTGCTTTGAATATATTAAGGACTGTTTTCTTTACTCTTTTATAGTACAAAACCATACTACAGAAGGTAAAAAGAAACCAGAAGAAAATAAAGAGTTAAACGTTATCCAGTCTTTTTCTTCAGTTTGGATTTGTCATGCTATAGCTGTTGAACAGAACAAAACTCTAAACAGATGATGACCTGGAACAAGACTAGGTTGCAGCTGTTCTCAGACAAACTTTGGATGTAGAACCTGTCAAGAAACGACAGGACTCTGGATTCTGTTGTTGCTGTTTATTTTTATTTAAAATTCCTTCTCTATGTCTAATAGCATGTCACAGAAGACAATGAATTTGCTTTGAGTGCCTTCTTTGGGCAGAATAAGGAAGAGGATTCTGCTTTTGCAGGTATCCAAAACCTGACATTAATTTTTTCTTTTGGAGTCTCCTAAATACCACAATAATGTTTTCCAATTTATTCTCTATGCTTTTCCCAGTATTTTTTATGTTTCAGTTTGGTCTTGTGACCACTGCTAAAAACTGAATTCCAAACACCCTTACTGGGGATTCTTTCTAAAAACTAATACCTGTACAATTCCTTGTGCTGTGAAGTAAGCAGAATAGCTGATATAACCACTTTAAAAACAAAAACAAAACACCACTAACAATATTTCAAATAATAGATTAAAAGGAATAATGAAGTTGATTTAAGACAACCATGTGCAAATGATTTTATCAGTTTAGTAGATATGGGCTGCAATCATTCATCATCTTGACTCACAGCATTAGGATATTGAGAAAAATTTAACACGATGGTCCCATTCAGAGTGATCTTGTCTTAAATTCTTCTTACCCTACCCTGCCCCCACAGAAGGTGGTCAGAAAATTTCATGTTAAAGCAGCAACACACATTATTTGTCACTGCAATATAGCTATTTATTGCTACATGATTATCACAGCATCCAGAACGCCAATCAGATTCAAAATACACTTTGCCCAAAATGCACTGGGTAACATGTTTATTTTTATTTTGTAAGTAGTGAAATGTCCTTTACTCCCTAAGTATCACTTCGATACACATAACTTGCTTATTCTAATTCACTCTACCATATTTTTTAAGAAGAGAATCCTACTGTTGAGAGCCAGTATCATCAACACTCAAACTCATTCCAAAGTTACCTTTGCGTCCAGGAATTGATGTAAGCAAATATCTTGAGGGCATGTTCCTTTCTGAGCTGCAACCCGTCAGCACCTTCAACATCTGATACTAAAGAAAACAAAACCAAAAACATATTAGTAACAAAAAAAAGTGCAATTGCTTCATTTTTTTTGGAAATTACCTTTGATAGCATGAATAATTAAAAAAATTTGTAAAAATAAACACCAGTAATCAAGTTACAGTAACTTTATGTGAAAGGTTTTTCAGCATGAAAATGTGCAATATCCAAATAAATAATCTTTTTTGTACTTGAAACTGAAGTCCTCAACCAAATCTATGTATTTTTTACTTCAGCAAACAGAGATAAGGTTTAGATGCAACTAACTTGAAAACAGAAAATGCATTGTATTCTTGAATAGTGCTGTGAAAATCAGTGATTGAGAACAGCCCCTTCTTCTAATCCTCTCCTGAGGAAATACTCTTCATACGCGCTTCACTGGGAAATAGTGATTGAGACACACTTCCAAATATGAACCTTCTTTAACACTTACTCATTAACCAGTTTGGGGGGTTTGGGATTGTGTGTTTTTTCAGATTTTAAAAGTCTGCATTTTGAGATGACCGTGAGACCTTAACTTCCTTTTCCTGATCAGATAAAGATTGGAGGGGCAGGGAGAAACAACAACAACAAAAACTCCACTACAACAAAACTATCAAGATAAAAACAATGTGCAGTGTATGTATAAAGTTATTTTAGACTAGTGAAGTTGATGATTATTACTTTCAAATATAGACATGTCTATACTGACATTTAACCATAATGAATCACTAGCTGGCAAAATGATAAATGTTTACCACATATATTAAAGCCAGAAACCAGAACAGATTAAGTACTGAATTCAAACCCCAAATACTTCAGTGAGGTATTATCAACTGTCCCACTTCCATCTAAAAAATGCTCATACACTCTTAATAAGCCAAACATTAGTAGTGGTCCACATCTCCATTTATGCATCAACCAATTATATATTAGGGCACTGGATTCTGTCTACTGACAACATACCTTTCTCCAACTATCAATGACCAATTCATTTCCTCCTTGTCCTAAACCTCCATACACTTCTACGATTATCTGATTACTATACAAATTGAGAATGTCAGTGCTCCTTTTAAATTGATCATTTAATTTATAACAAAACTAAGTATTAACTTCCACATTTCACATCAAATTTCAAGCATTACATGCTTACAAAAGCTACTTCACAAGCAAGCTTTGTGGGAAAGGTTCTCTAACAGAATCAAGCTCTTCAGAAGCCTTACCTCAACTTCTTTTCCAGCCTGAGCTTTGCAAGGTCCTACGGGATCTATCAATACAGGTTTCCAGAAACTATAGCTAGTGGAAGTCCACTGGCACAGGTCCAAAAGTAAAGAATACCACTTCTGAGAATAATCACACAGAATAAATACTTATGTCTTCTTTAAAACACCTTGCATATGAACATACATATGTACTTTTATATATACGCACACACACAAATAATAAAAATACACAAAAATTTGTCTCTCAATAGGATACCACTAAACTTGGGGAAAAAAAAAAAAATCACTTTTTGATCTCACTCCTAGAAGGCTTTGAGGAACCCGACCTAACACTGGACAAAGTACAAAATCAACAAGCAGACCAAAAGACAGGTATCACTTGATACTACTTTTTAGTTTAAACACCACAAATTACCATGACACTTAACTCTCTTAAGGCCAAAGCACAGTACTGAAGAAAACAAATGTCCAACGACTGAGGTCAAGCTTACCACAAAAGGTAGATCCTTAACTATTGATAGTATCTTTTTTAAAAAAAGACTTGCCCAGCATAAAGAGTTTACAAAACCTTCAGTCTCTGATTTTGTGAGCATTTGTTTCCTTAAGATGAATTCCTTCAAACTTGACACAAAAACTGCTGACAATTTAGTAGCAGTTAGAATTTCCCTCATACCCACATCACGCTACTTAAAAATCACACACTCCCAACAAATAGTGCAGTAACTCGTAACTTCCAGAGCAGCCTTTTCACTGCAATAATTTTAAACACTCCCAAATTTCCCTCTGTGATACTAAGAAAATCTGAAGAACAAAGTTAAGTAAACTGATCCCTTAAAAGGTATAATTACCACATAAAGTATTCAGAATGCAGAAGTTATGGAAATACTGAAGCTTATGCCCCAGGTCAAAAAAATAGGGAAGTATATGAACAGGTTGGAGAAACCTATTATTTTTCTGTTTATGCATTCTACAGCTCACACATAGACCAACTTCAACTGGTCTTATTTATTAATCATTGCTAACTAATATAGTGGCTACATACACTACTTCCCTTTTGTTTTCTGTACCTAGAAATAATACTGTTCTTGTTCCTGAAAATACTACGGAAGCTCAAAACGGAAGCAACTACACTGAGGCTGCAGTTTTCCACTTAAATGATCTAAGTCTGTCCCACTACCAAAAGGGGTAGTGACACATCTGGCAGGGCTTCTCTGACTGGACCTTATTTGAAGCCCTCTCTTGTGCTCCTTAGCAGAAATTATAATTTTCAGCTCAGCTAACTTATGTCCTCGGAACCAACATTTAAATCTTAGGTTTTTGAGTTCCTGTCTTATCAGGAATATCAACTTTGTGGATACTCTTAATTTACAGCACCTGTCTTTAAGGACACATGCAGCTTGAAGTACAGCAATAATGGGTTATGAAGCCTTCCCAATATTTTTTGAATTTAAAAAAGAACAGAAAAGAAATAGGAACAACTGAGCTCATCATTCCAGCGCATTTGTTGATTTTAGTCAGTTCTGTAAGGACTCCCTTGCTGCATATGATTTTCACTCCCAATTGATGATGTCTCCCTCTCCTTTAAATGAGTTTTCTGCTACCTTGAATGGGCCAGTAGTTAAAACAGACTCATTTACTTGTAAATAAATCACGTCCTTTTATTCCCTTCCACATTGAAGCATCGGGCATGCATTAGATCCTGCTTAATCTGCTGTCTCCCCAGCCTCCCACTCTTCCAGTGTTCCAAACCCCACAGTAAAAATCATGTCAAACTTTCTGAAAAAAATTTTACTCTGACAAGCCTCCTTCTTGCAAATTGATTTGGTGGACAAGACTTTCCTCTATTTTCATACCTAAAGCATTGATCCCCACAGGATGCTCTAAGGCATACTCATGTGCTTTGAGAGAATCTGAGGCACATCAAAGTGGCAGCTTGTGTGCTCTCATCAGTAAGAATTGACAATACAAGCTCCAGAGCTTTACAGCTGGTCATTCCATGATCTATTAGTAGATGCTGCCCTCTCAGCAGTGGCACTTCAATCCTAGGCTCAGCTCCTTTGCCCCTCTCTCCTATGGCTGCTTCTTTCTCCAGGCACTCACAAGCTACCAATGCTAGAGATGCCTTCCCGAATTTACTCTTGAGTGTGCTGGGCTCAACTTTCTTCTCCTTCCATAAATTTGCTCCAGTAAATGTTTCTTCTCAGTTAAAATCTCTTAGACTTTTTCACCTTCCAGTCCCTCCTTTTCCCTCTTACCTTCCATGCACATGAACACCTCTTCCCTGCACTAGATCCAATTTCAAGATCAACACAACCCAGCTCAAGTCCACACTACTACCAGCATCCATAGCCATGCATTCAACTACTCCCAACAATCATTAGGGTTCTTGCAGGAACTCAGAGAGCCAGACTGTGGACTGAGCAAATTCAACTTGCCAAACAAACCAAAAACTACCCACTTTGTAGTGTTTGTAGGCCACTGAATACTCAGGTTGGCAGCTACCTAAGCAGGGGGGGTGGGAAGGAAAAGTTTAACAAGTGTGAGGCTAAGAGAAGTAAACACCTTTGTAGTGACTGCAGACATAAAATTGCTCCACCCCATCTGGAGTAACTTAACCCTCATATTACTCATCTACAGCCAAAGAAACTGAAGATACAGTTACTATTAGAGTATGGAAAAAACAGAACGGTGAAGGCCTTAAGCAAATCCATCCAAGACAGACCTAACCAGCATAAAGAAGAAAGACTAGTATGTAGGCAAATTCCAGCTAAATATATTCTACAAATATAATGTAGAAAAGAGAGTATTTTTGCATACTCACAATGTCTCATTTCACTGAATATTTACAAGACGGTTTAGAGATCTTTCGGTCACAGTAACACCATATAAGAAAGAGCTGAGTTGCTTAACTAACCCATAGTAATAATTATTAATGGCTTGATTTTTTTTAAACATCTTCTAGTGTATAAGTTTTCAAATGTTCTTTTTTTTAAAAAAAAAAAAAAGCAGACATACTTAAAATGCAATTCTTTATTCAAGTAGCTGACGAGAAGCCAAAACACATTTCAGTAAAAATAAAATTTCCTTGCTGTTTCCCCTGTCTCCCATTTTCCTTGGCTAGTTTTAAATCTTCCACAAAAGAGTGATTTGCTACAAGTGTATTATAGTACTAGAAACAACATGATCTCCCAAGCTAAGGAAAAAAACTATTAATAAAGCTACTAAACCAAGAAAATTACAGAAGACGAGAAAAACATGAATCAACCACAAAGAAGGTAGCAATATAATTTCAACTGTGAACAAACGAAGCTCAGATCATAAGTGCATTTTTAGCAAGAACTTCAGAGCTAGACGAACAGATTGTAATTAGACCTCAAGGACAACTATCATTCTAGACTTACAAGGAATATCTTATATCCAAAGGTCACTTACCACACTAAGTACAAAATCAAATAGCAAGTAAAAATAATATTTTTAAGTATACTTTTACTTTCAGAAACATAAAATAGTAAAAAGCAAACACTAGAAAACTCTTTAATATAACTAATTTCTACATATTCAGAACTGTCACAAGGTACAGTTGCATACAGATTCTGCTCCCTCCTCCTCTTCCCCCAAGCCTCATCCGATATCAGCTTCTCATGGGAAAGACTAGATCACTTTCAAAATGGACATTATTCTCAGAAATTGTGCCCCAATACAGATTACATAGAGGAAATAAGAGCCATACACTAAATGAAACAGTATTAGGGATAACAATACTGAACTTGAAAGAAATATATACCTAA